ATATATATATATATACATATATATAATATGTATATATATATATATATATATACATACATACACAGGGGCTGTTTTACAGTACCCACCAAAGCATTTCTACTTATGTCCAATCCTGAGTTTTACATAACACAGCCTCATCACATACACTTCTCTTTCCACTCCCGTTCTGCTGGCTGGAAAGTAAAAGAGCAGCAGCAGACTTATGAAGTCATCCCTCTGCTCCCTTCCTCTGCTCCTACCCAACTCTCTCCTCCTATCAATTTGCAGTGGATGGCCTCCTGCCCCTCCATCTCCAAGTCTGAGTGCAGTTGTGTAGGAGATTGTAAGAGGCTGATGCCAAGTCAGATTCAGGAATGTAAACTGGTTTAAAAAATATATAATAATTATTAGGGATGCAACGATACTGGTTTTTCGTTACAAATATTTTTTTTTTTTTCGGTACTTGCCGATGCCGCATACAGATACTGGAAGACCCATTAAGAAAGCCAGGCAGTGGTAATGACTCGCCACCTGACTTCCTGATTAGCCAGGAAGCCGGCACCAATGCTCCCCTGTCACAAGGTGACGAGGAAGCATGGAGCTTTCTCGCCAATCAAGAAGCCAGGGGGCAAGTAATGACGCAATGCCCGGCTTCCTGATTGGCCAGCTTCCGGACAAATCAGGAAGCCGGGCGGCGAGTCATTACCCGCCCTCTGGCTTCCTGATTGGCTGGAAAGCCAGCTCCATGCTCCCTGGTGACGAGGGAGCATGGAGACAGCTTCTTTATACCAGAAGTTCCAGTATCAAGTAAGGTTTAGGAGCATTTGGGCAAGTACAGGTTCTCGCCCAAATACTCGGTATCGGCAGCGATGCTAGTATCGGTATCGGTGCATCCCTAATAATAATGAATAATTTGTTAATGAATTCAGGACTGCAATAATTTGTGTCTTTTTACTGTATGTCCACCTGATGTTCTTAACCCTTGCAGTGGGGCTTCCCTTGCACTGGGAAGGTTAAGTGCTCATTTTGCCTGGGAAGCTAAAGTTGGAAGCTAAAAATGGTATGCCCCTTGGCATCCTCATGTCATATACACTGTATTAGACGTGATGATTCACAAGATCTTAGACCACCAGAGTGGATGGGGACTCCAGACCAGTCCCATCAGCCTCGCTCCCCCTCCACTTCAGCAATCTAAGACCCTGTGAGTGTTATCAGCCCTGCCTAAGTTGTCTCTGTGAACTACAGAACACCACTCCCTGTCCTCATCTCCGTAACCTGGGGAGGCTAAATCAAGAGTGAGACCAAATCCATGTAGACCAAATCAAGAGTGAGTAGCCTAGGATGACAATGCTATTGCTTTATATATATGGTACAGTAAGTGAGTGTTGTCACCCTGGGACAGGAAGTGTATTACTGGCAGGACCACCTGGTGGAAATAATGAAAAAAAAAGCCTGAAAAAAGAAAACGAATGCAGCCACCACATCTAAGGATAGGTGAGCTGCAATATGTTACGTAAGTAGATGGAGAGACCCTCCGCATTCCTCACAGCAGTCCCGGCCAGATAAGAAAAAAGTGGTGCTCGCAGTGATGAATTACCACGGATTGCGCGGTGCAAACACAGGAAAGTCAGGAAATCACCAGCACTCAGTAATAAAGATAAATATGTCCCTTTTATTGGACAGAAAGCGTCACAGACATCCAAATAAACCGACATTTCGGGGCCGCGCAGGGTCCCTTCCTCAAGGCAGAAAGATGTGGGTTCGGATATTTCGTTATTTCGGAATTTGGGATTCATATTCGAAATTCAATTCGGTTCGGGTTTCGGACAAAATCTGAATTTCGTTAGTTTCGGATGAGTTTACCAATATTCGTTGCGAATACCACAGAAAACAATACACCGATATTAATACTAAAGCTGAATCTCCTAGACCCGAATGGCATTCGGGATACAAATTTCCAAATTGCATTGGGGAGCTCCAGAAAGCAATACAGGTCTGGGAGTTCATAATTCATAAATTCGGATCCCGAATGCCATTCAGGTCTGGGAGCCATATACATATATTACTAAAGGTGAGGCTCCCAGACCTGACTGGCATTCGGGATCCGAATTTATGAATTGCATTCGTGAGCTCCCGCATTCCATTCGGGTCTGGGATCCATATACATATATTACTAAAGCTGAGACTACCAGACCCGAATGGTATCGGGATCCGAATTTCCGAATTGCATTTGGAAATTCTGATCCCGAATGCCATTCGGGTCTAGGAGCCTCAGCTTTAGTATTATATATACCGTGTTTCCCCGAAAATAAGACACTGTCTTATTTTATTTTTTTGGGCTCAAAAAAACACACTAGGTCTTATTTTCGGGGTAGGTCTTATTTTTTAATGTACAGCAATCCAAAGTTAACGCAAAACCAAATGAAATAATCCAAAATGGCGAAGTTCAGAATAGGTTGATCAGGTCAATCAGGGGTGCCGTACCTTTCCAAAAGCAATTTGGTAACCAATCGCTGGCCAGAATGAGTGAAGCGCGCTTTCACTATGGATTCCTCACAGGCGGAGTGCATTTGGTATCACTCCGCCTGTGACAGGAGCCGGCGCTATAGAGGAGGCATCGGCTTATGCGGCTCT